CTTTAATTTGTTATTCAAGCTCGAGCAATATCCCAAAATAACTGCGATTAGGTAGCATCTTGATTACAGTAAAGACAGGCCATCATATTTCTAGGAATTATTCCTGCCTCTCATTCCTTAAACCGGCTTCGTTAAACAGTGCCAAAATATTTAAGTCGGAGCCAAAAACAAGACTATTTTTATATTTAAATCCCCTCACCTTGTCAATGTCTATGCCTGCATCTGGTTTTCCCACCTTTGGGAGGGAGCCAATATGCCAATATACACATAGATTACTTACTGGCCATGGACAGGGGGGGGGCACAGAAACGAACATTCTGGGGTCATAAGGGATAACTGGGGAAGGGGGGGGGGGTGTGGTGAATAGTGAAGTCCGGGAGTGAAGTTAAGGGGTACTGAAATCTTTCTTTTGATATTTAGTGCTTGAATGGAAACTTGTTTCCACTCCCCGCATTCTAGTAGAATTTAAATATTTGATCCAAAGGAGTTATTTTAAATCAAACTTGCATTCCGATTAATTAACACTCCCATGATTGTACCGCTTCACTATTGTCTAAGATAATTATAATGAATTCACGGGACACTATAGTCTTCCTTTTAAACTTTAGTGGTTGGATGGAGACTTGTTTCCCCACCCCGTACACTAGTAAATTTGTAGATTTAAATTATTTGATTTAGGGAGGTATTTGCAATCCAACTCTGATGATGCAAGACTAGTCAGCCAAGACTAAATTATGAACTCATTATCATTTAGACTATTGAGTTCATTAAATTATAATTTCATAGATATCATATTTAATCCTGTCAACACAATAATGGTATTAATTGGCATGATATGTAATCAGAGACGGTTTAAAAAGTTGTTTAGATTAATGATAGTATTAGGAAAAATCCTAATTCAAAGTTTTTGTTCTCTCGCAATCCAGAGCAAACCACTCGCCGGGCAAGCATTCTTTAAAAACGTGAAGTTTTCACCATGTTGAGCAGTTTTGAAAATTTTTATAACTGCCCCCCCCCCTTGACACTCGAGTGTAAGAATCCTTTCCACACTGTCAATGGTTTTACAAAATAGTTCATGTCAGGAAGGGTGAGGGGTGAGTGTGGAGAACAATCACTGACTGCGATTTGTATGTATTATTATATCTTGGTTACCCCCATATCTGGCGAGCATTGAACATTATACAAATTCGTAAAGAATAGTTTTAAAATAAACATGAGTTACTTGTAATTATCAGACCGATCTTTTATGGACAATATTATATATCAGACTCTTTTATGGACAATATTATATATGCGAAGAATTATTAAACGCTTGCTGCATGCAAACATACAACACTTTTTAATTGGAATACTTTACTTAGTTAATTAACACAGTAGTCATATGACACACGGATAAGACGTAACTGGTCCAAGGATAAACTCTATCTATCTCTCAATAGAGTGAACTTTTTATTCCTGAGAATTAGTAGTTAGTCGTGGTTATTACTTATGGATAACACATAAAGTATTCTTTCTTAGTAGTGCTTACAAAATAGTGTTTCCCGTTGTGTGGTACAAAAAATATAGTCAATTGAACAGTCGAGGGCCTAGTAAAAGAATAAACATTATAGTAAATCCTTTTCCGTTCTATCGATAAATACTGTGAGATGAATGTTAAACAATTGTAGGCGATTTACATATTCTTAATAATAGTTATGTGACAAACATTATTTGATCTGAAATTTTACATCGTCCTTTTTCATTTTTCAGTTCCGATAAATCCCAGGTGATCACTTAACTGTGACACATGTAAATCGTATTTCCTGAATAAATCATCAAATCATTGTCAACTCAATCAAGAGTGATGCTACAATGATACCATATATATTCATTGGAGCTTAACGAAGGATCACATGGGCTCTGACATGGCTCATAAATACCGTCATTTATTTATTGCAATTATTTAAAGTCTTCATTTGACCTGAAACATTTAAATGCCGAGGCGTCTTTATCTAAACGGTATATCCTATCCAACATAATTCCTTTTGACTTATCATTGACCTTGTCAGCGATGTAGCTAAACAAATATGTGATGCTTAAAATGTGTTTCTTAATTAAACAATCTTGTAGTAACAAAATGTTACCTTTCCTTCCGCTTGAAAAAATAGTTGTGGATGCTGTTTCTAATTATAAATGTTCGTTAGGTGGAAAGCTATCAATCGGAGAGAATAAATGCTAAATGCGTAAGACAAGTAAACATTTGAAGGGGAAATAGATTTCAAAGATATTTCCGATTGGAAAACTGTTGCCTCATTCACATGCTACTACCCAAAAAATGATACATGTGTGACCTTGATGTTTCAATCCAATTTAGTTTTTTCAAATTGCTCATAGCATTTTTATATCATCTTACCATAATTGACTTAGATGCAATTAAGACCTGGAATTGGAAATTGACTTACGTGTATTTAAAGACATCTTGTTTCATCAGAAATGATGATAATCCAACTTTTAAAAGAAAGCTTTATCACTTACATTTATCAGAAATGTTTGTTTCACCAAATATTCAAAATTCGATTCAAACGAATTTTCTATAACATTGCATTTGTTTATTCTTTTCACTGATCGATTTCCTAAATAAAAAAGCAAAAAGCAAAAGTTCAGTTTTAATCTAGAAAGATATATTTTATTGAGATAACACAGAAGGTAAAAAATATTTGTAAAAATGACAACCTCTCATTATTCATCAATGCATGACGTGTTGTAAATTAGGAATATTTTAAAGGGAGATTTGCAGCTCAATGTTGACCCTTTGGTACCTACATTAACATATTTTGTCTGTTCCTGAATAGTGTTCATGTATGAAAGGAGGAATTGTTCGTTACTTTTTGATATATCATAGTTCGAGATATCTGAGTTTGTTTCCTTATGACTGGTCTTTATCTTTAACTTGTCGTTATTGTTGAATTTTTGAATAATCTTTCAAATTTGAGGCTTCGTTTTTTAAAGTATGGATTAAACGCTGAATCTGATTGCTCTTCACATGTACATGCTTGCTATGAGTTCGACATACTGAAGAACTGTGATCATTATAATGTGAAGATGCTACACTATGTATCTATACATATTCCAATTACATATGGTCTGGATGAACCAGTGTGAGTATAAGGTTTCTGTTTGCTATTTCTAGACCAAAACGTCTCTTGCTATTCTCGTACGCTACTGAAGTGTAGATGTTTGCATATTAACCAGACCTTGAGCCGGTTTACCTTTGTTTTCTCCCTTCCTAGTATCCATCCATTTTATGTCGGACACTGACAAGTTACAACCCAACTCTTATGTAAAACTTCAAAAGAACATTGTACGCCACATCAAATGAGTATACCTACAATCGACACTATAGTAGCCCAGACAGTCTTTTTTGTCAATACCTAGCCCCCTTTAATCTTTCGAAATTCAAGTGTTATTTTGTAATGGAGTGGTCGTATTCTAAAGAATTTTATATTAATACTTTTTCAATTGTTAAAATTTTGTTTGTGAAGAATTTTCGAAGGAAATGCATAAAATTGATCCCAGTCAATCGTGTTTGTTGAAGGCTAATACTGTATTCTTAAGAACTATTTTCCTTTTAACAATGCTTGATGTCATCAAAAGTGACTATTGGGTTCTATCGTTCTTGCCACTGATTTTCCCAATTATGTTATCGATGTCTTTCTTACCATCGGTGCGTCTCCTTTTTTCATTGTCAAAGAGATGTTACACAGAAACTCGACATTCATCAAATGCATTGACTGACCTTAGAATTGAATTTGTAAAACAAAGTAAACTAAAAAATTTCTAAAATTGGCGGACTACTTTTATGATTCAAAATGTGATTTGATGTCATTCATTTTATTATTTCTGGACGTCATTAGCTCACGAGCAACCGAGTAGATCTTAACTGAATCGTGTTAGCTCAAAACTCATCGACCTTTGCTCATCAGTCTTTTTTGTTCAATCGTTCATTCGATGAGACGTAACTCAATGTAGCTGCAATCAATAACTTAAAACTTAAATAATAGCTAAAATAATTAAACTGGACTTAACTACGTTTTCAATTAGGGGGGACTATGTTTTTATAAATCCCTTTGACCTTTCAATGTTATATCGAGGGTACCATTACATTGCATGACCCTCTCAACATCTTGCGAGCCGACCTTTTGTAAGATTCTTGCACCCACTTTTGAAATAGCTTCACGGTATGCTCCTCTTTATGAAAAGTATATATTTTTTATTTAAGATATATGTTGGGAAGAACCTTGATCGCAATGAGGATCCGGGATTTTTTCCCAGTGGCAATGTAGCCTGATAATAAGATGAAATTCCGCACATAGCCATTCACATCTGTCAGTAATCTTTCATTGTACCCACTAAATGGAGTATTTTGTTAGTTGTAAAAATACAACAACATTTAAAAAACACGTATCAGTATTAAGATAATGGAGGCATTTCCAAGCCAGAATCACAGTTTTGTATTCTAAAAGTTTTGTAAATGAAGTAGCATAATATCACTGAATCCATAGCAACGTAAATATTATTATGGTTGCATATATCTTAACAGAATAAAGTTACCTCTAACAGTATGATATGCCTAATATGTATGTGAAAGATACCACTACGTATATATTTAATTCAAGATGGGTCCCAATGAAAGTCAAGAATTTATTAATTTAGAAAGGAGAATACGTACACTTGCAATAAGTTCAACGTGTTCTTTTAGTCAATTTTAAACTCAGTGCATTTCAACAAAGGTTGAAATATCAATCCAGACAAGCCAGATTTTCAATGAAACATGAATTGGAACTACCAATTACATAGAATAAATCCTATCAAAGTAAATGACATTTTATAGTCTATGGAAAGGGATAACATCAGTTTTGAAATGATATATCAATATTGTACCATGTTATTCCAATATTTCAATACAATGAGGTTTTCGCAGTCCACTCATTTATTTAATCGTTTTATTCCTCTCTTTTCAGGTTATCGTAGAACTCAGGGTTGTTTTTCTAAAGGTCGGGGAAATAGATACATTAAAAGAACAATACAGTGCAGATGCATTTATCCAAGCAAAATGGCGAGAACCTGCACTGGATGGAAAATCGCAAGATGTAAGTGTAAATTATTTATCACTATTGTATCCACCACACAGGCTGTACAAAGTCTATACATAGGAACTTAGAAAGCTATTTGTGCTACTCCATTATACATTCTTTGGTTTATATACGCCATTCCTAGTCAAGATGAATTGTACAATTTTATATGTTCATGGTATTTCCCACTAGGTTACTCCATCACTTGGATTTTATTTTAGTCCATGATATTACACAAATCTGACAGATATCATTTAGACTATATTTATGATATCAGGAAACGTTATTACATCCATGCAGTTTTGTTTAACTATTAATATGATTCCAGTCGTTTAGTTCCGATAATGAAGCATAACGTATTCACCACCATTTTTATGACATGCTGGAAATAGCTTATATAGATGGAGTATGGTTGTTACTTATACCCAATCATCGAAGGTTTAGTCCTACAAGGAAGACATGTTCATATCACGAATGTGGCAGATGCCATCTCCAATCGACCAATTGAATATTTAAAATGTACCATTGGAAAGCTTGTTTGTTATGCCCCTCTGGGGATGTACAGTTTTGTCCATAGCACATCTTATTGTGGCAATGACAATGGGAAAATTATTTCTCCATTTGATACGAACAATATTTGTTAGGTTTACAAGTTTAATCAAATACGTATTTGGAACGTATTTGATATGAAAACTAACTTCAAAACAAGTTTACAAGTAATATTATGTAATTTTTCAGGAAATAAAACATATAGAATTAGAACGCTATTGGAATCCACTATTATATATAGACAATATAATAAATGAAACAAAGGATCACACGTGGTTAGCGGCGACTGTTAACAGTAGAGGAGAAGCATATGTAATGGAGCGGCGGAGAATACGAGGCATATTTCTGGAAAACTTAGAGCTTAATGACTTTCCACTAGATGTTCAGGTAAGTAGTAAACATACAATCACGTTAATGAGCTATAATGCCTTAAGAGCCACAAGCCAGACTCTCTGTGGCATTTATTAAAGGACATGTTTTTCATCAGATAAATCAATTTGAAAGTCCCGATGGATGTTATTTCGAATATAAATAATCCAAGAGATAAGAGGTATCACCCAAAGTTAATTTATAATCTAAGTGTTAGCATCAATTAAAACAGTAAACGTTATAATATCTACTCACTGAATTGTGAACAGACGACCAAAGGCTAATTATTTCAAGTGAATATTGTTTACACATCCTAGCTGAACATTCTAATTTGCTTTAACTTGTAGAAGCAACCGCCTCCTGGTCGGGGTTCAATTGTTGTCTTGAATATATCTAAATAATATAATGACGTATTTCCCTTCTATATCCCTCGCCATAGCCTGGCATCTTAAATGAAATAATGTCGTACAGAATAAGGTTTTATGGAAAAATACAATGGATCATGATTTTTCCTTTTAGGATCTCACTATTACAATCTCGACAGAAAGACCCGACACTGAGATAGATATCATTCCAGATGAATACGAGATGAGTGGAATCAATGTGCAGACATTTGTAGATCAACAGGTGTTGTATTTTTATTATATTCTAGCATAGCGTCATACCTGTGAACATGTATTTTTATTTGCTTATAGCTGTTGGTTAAAATCAGACATTTTCATCGAGAACAACAATTTTGTGTCACTTATCATGTTTCAAAATGATCACAAATACAGAAAAATGTTGTCACTTGATTGAAATGGTCTATATATACATATTAAACAGTTTCATGTGTTTAGAGATGATGTACGTGTTCATGTTAGCGTACTTCTGTCTAGTGGGAATTTAATTTTTATGTAGAGTTTTTTAGTTTTGCGCCACCCGTGACACTTGGTTCGATGCTAGCCACTTTTTTACGTGTTGCTGCTATATAGGCATAGCATAGGCCAGTTTTTGCTCAAATCAGGTTTTAATTGGACCCCAATTTGACCTAAGTTTTAGTGCAATCGTCATCATCATAATGTTTTTGTTTAACTTGCAGACTAGCTCATCTTCTGTCTATACGGTAATTTTTAATTGAATTGAAACATTTGATGATGTAAGAGGTTTTATGTGGTGAACGCAGACATTTTGTTATATGCTGCAAATGCCATATGTTCATAACTGGCTGCATGTATATGTTTTTGTTTAAACACTATAGCCACAGCTAGCACATTATACTTTATTTGTACACAAAATGAAGATAATTTTAAATGTATGATAAATTCAAGTGTGTTATAAACATATATGATTACCCATAAAATCTCTTACAGTCTTACAGTTGCTTTATGGAGTCAACCAAGAGCAGAATATATTAACGACCTCTGCTTGGTGTGTCCCTCAACAGTGAAAGCCCCTTTTGCAATCCATTCATAGCTTAGGCCCAATGGTTCCAACGTTTTGAACTTGCCAGTTGAGTAGAACCCCACACTACTTCTTATTATGATTTTTTTACCAGGCAGCCAGTAGATTATTTCCAAATTTCCTATTCGTCCTAAAAAATAATAATTCCCTTATATTCCTGATATATTTTTTAAGCAAATATCATGTTAATATGCTTAGCGTTTCCGGATTTCATGCGCCTCTATGACAATGGTTTACCAAATATGCATGACGAAATAACAATATCATGTCACTACTTACAAGTAGTGCAATCGTCGTCATTAGATTTAACATAGTGCATATATTAGTACAATATTATAAAGAAATAAGTATGCAATTATTTTAGTATATTTAGATTAATGTCTAGATTACTAATAATAAACCTTATCTCTAGAAGAATTGTAAGCTATACTTCTATAGATAAGGTGTGTTACTTTAGTTTCTGAATATACACCATTGTTATTATCATTACAGGATAACTATTTCAATAATACACGGCTATATACGGTAATGATGCAATAGATAACACAGGATGTCATTTATCCTGAATTTGTTTAAATAATTAAGTTATGTTTTAAGCATGGCTCTGAAACGCGCCCTGTAGGACAGCATGTACCCCCACACTGCTGCTAACCAGCGCTTAATGCCGCTTATAGAACGACTGCGCACTTGAAATATCATACTTTCTAATTATCTTCGTTTTGGGTATTATGATTTTGTTAGACATTTCGGTGGCACATTTACAAAAACATAAGGTGCAACTCCAATTGAAAATATTAAATTTCGGCTTCGTCAGTCGAATGTATAAAATCAAGTAAGGAGCCAATAAGCATTAATCTGAATAATCTTAATTAAATGGACGTCAAATCTGTTTGGCTACAGCACTCAGCCAGGCGAATCCATTTGAGGCCCCACTTGCAAATTGAATTGGGACCAGGTCAATCATTCTACTAATTTGATTTGATTTACATTTTAGTCTGTCTTGGGTGTTTTTTGAACTGATCATCACTATGTTGTTGTCTGGATACTATATTTTCCAATCGATAGCGAATTGGATGCAATAACATTGAAGGAACCGCTGTGTTATTAAGGAATTATTATATTATATATTATATACTTTATTTCATATTTATGTGTGCGACTTGAAGCACAATAATACAGTATTTATTTTTATCTAACTTTTTGATTAATGGTCATGCCATGGTGGTTTATGTATTATATAACTTCAGTTTTTTCTGAAATTATGTTTGCACGGAATTTTTGTAACTATATTTAAGGATTTTTTCAAATTTACTATTGATTGGCGTTACATAATGTATTTAATACTGCGAGTTTCTAATAATAAGTAAATATTATTTTATTATACATTTTATTATATTTTATTATTCTGAACCGATATGATTAAAATGACACTTAAAATGATTTAGAACAAAGAAATCATTTCATTCTGATCAATGAAAAGCATATATTGATCGAGAAGTAATCTAACGTTTAATAAAAAAAAAAACATAACTTAGTGTCGTACAATAACATTACATTAACCACGATGGTTGTATCTACAGGAATGGAAATTACACGAGCATATTGAAGTGAACAGAAAAGTAATGACTCAAGACTATTCCACGCAGAGCAGGTCACACCCGGCACTATCCGTCACATGCAGGGCTGCTAGAAGACCTGGATTCTTTTTCTGGAATGTTTTTCTCATCATGGTAAGTATTTGCCGTTGTACATGCAACAGATGTTATATATATTATACCATATTCATTATATCGCACATTGCTTTGCCGTCAGGAAATAGAAATCAAACGTGGAGAGTACCAAGAAACTTAGTAACTTGGTAAGAGAATACATTATGCAAGATACACATTGTGGGATCCACAGCCTTTACTATCCTTTTGGAATAGTTCAGAAGCGTTAGGTAAAGAGGGACTTTGATAAATCAGAATGCAAGATACACGATTGTACAAAGATGTCGTGTGTGACTAATTCAAGATAACATGATGATGCTAGATACATTTAATAATGTTAAAGAATGATTGGTGTTAAAGGCAATAAACTTGTTTCAGGGCATGCATTGTGTATGATGCATTAGAATCTTATTCATTGGTATAACACAAATGTATCTTGCATGGCTAACAGAGACTTTTTGTTTCAGTTTTTCATCACAGTTCTCTCATTTTGTACGTTCAGCGTCAACGTACTTGAGCCTCAACATCGACTACGTTTAGCCTTTACATTGCTTCTAACGTCTGTCGCATTCAAGATGGTAATAAACCAAAGTCTACCAAAAATATCTTATTTAACAATAATGGTAAGTTGTGAGATGGCTACTAAGTGGCAAGCCTTTGATGTGTATCCAAAATGATCTTACTTTGCCTGACTTAGACACCGGGCTCATGGGTTAAGAAAGGTTACTCTATCCAGATGATTTGCGAACAACGGGCAGTATTATCACTTGGGTCACAATTTAGGCGAGCCGCTATTTTTCAAACAGTAACAAAGAATTTCTAATTTCAGTTCTTCATCACTGCTCTATCGTTTGCAACGTTTGCTGTGGAGCCGGACAAAGTTCACAACCGATTGCAACTTTCCTTCACTCTTCTGCTCACGTCAGTAGCATTCAAGTTTGTGATCAATCAGAGCCTTCCAAAAATATCCTATTTAACATATATGGTAAGTTTTATGGAAAAGGGTGCAGGGTGTTTCAATAATGAGGCACACACTTATTATTTCTTCTTGGATTACTATCGAAATTCATGACTCAGCTTTATCTCAGGACCTAATATTGTGTCTTAAATGTACGTCAGAAATATATACAGTCTATATTTTCTGAATGTTGTAAATTCCTTCACCCAAATGGCTCTCATGCATACTTGTTTGGTACTGATGCATGGCAAGCAATCTTTTTTCTGCATGTTCGGTTTGACATCGGTTGTTGGCTTTCAAATTTTGAAACACCCTGTCAATACTGTACCGTTATATTTTATCTTACAGGTATAGTGGTGCATCTATCTGTCTATAGTCTCTTCAGTATGTCATATTGTGTAAGGCATGTCCTCACTGGTGTTGCAAATGACAAGTTAACAATTGTATACGGATGCACGATGGGTACTCAAAATACACAAAAGGAATCTTCAAACCATTAAAACCAGCTAACGAATAAAGACTTTTTGTTCGAATACAGTTCTGCTATTATTGTTAGACGGCAATTAATATAGATGGCATTGTTATCCCACCCTTAGTATACAGTTAGATTAATAGTCATATTTAACATTAAGCTATATACAATAATTGTAATGTTTTTTGATATGAATCTTTTTCAAAATTATTTTTAGAAATTGTTTCCCTAACATTTTGATGTTCATTAGAGTGAGAAACAAGGATCAATACTTAGTTAAATCTGTTTATTGTTTTAATCTCTCATGAGTATACTCTTCTGAGTTTAAACACGATGTACAAAATGAACTATCGAATAACTTAATAATGATATTAGAAATGATATCGATGACATAAACTTTTCAAATGACAAAGCAGTAAGTACTGGACACTTTATTAAAATGCCTGTGACTGAGTAATTTTAGTTGATCTGTAATGTAAAATCTCCATGTCTTAATGCATTAAAACTCACATAAGTGTTACACTACCATGTATTATTATAAAGTATATTGAAAACGATACATTAATAAAGCTGTTCATTAACTTTTTTTGTATAAACAGACACAGCGTTTCTTTTTTATTTCAGGATAAATACGTACTGCTGTCTTTGGTGATCCTATGTATTGTGTGCATTTGGCACTCGCTGGTTACTCTATTTAAGGATTATGACTATGAACCAAAATTCATAAAACACATTGAAAGGGACGTCTTCATCTCGTTCAGTGTATTGTATGTACTGGTGCATATATTGTTCATACTCTGGCTTTATTTTGATGTGAGTAATCTTTTTTTTAGTAAATTAATAAATTACAAATGTTATGAATAGTAGTATTTCAAAATTGAAGTATATTATGACATGAATTTAAGAATTATTTCTGATTAATATAATGTCTCTTATCATATCATATGGATATCAATTATCTTCAAATATTTAACATTATATTGATATATTGTATTAAGGTTAAACAATCATTTGTACTCTTAAAGTAATATCTTAGCTACCCAAGTTTAATCTCTGAGATTTTTTCAGGCGTGTAAAAGAAGGCGAGATATGAAGCGGAAAGATGCGGAATACCTGGTAAACTACCTTAACATATTGAGAGTGTTGACATGCGTTGGCTGGTTGGCTGATTTTTCGAATTTAACTAACACCAAACACGTTTACTTGTCCACATACTGCTTAATCTAACTGTTGTTATCTTAACTGTATCAAGCAGATACAACTTGTACGGTTGCCTTTAACTGTAAAGTACTTGTATTTGTTAGGAACAGTGGCTTATTAATATGGGCTATCACAAACACCAATACATTAGTTTAGTTCATAAATATGCAACAAATAGACAAACGGAGTAGCTATGATATCACTACGTACTGCTAGAACAACAAGGAGGAACACATTCACCTTTTCTATCACTCAATTTATTCATTTTTTCATCCATTTGATCTCTGTAGCAGTCACAGTTATTCAGAAAATTCTATTCAGACTTTTCCATTTTTGTTGCTGAAAAATCTCGTTTCAGTCCCTACTTTATATACTTTACATGCAGTCAAGTATTCACAAGACCTTCTTAAACCGTAGAAAATCGATAGACTTTGATGAAATAATTACATCTGATATACCACTGTATCTTCCATCTCCCATGCTTGGACTCTAGCTTGCTTTGTCTATAATTCACAGTAAATCAATAATCGTCTAATCAACATTCGCTAATGCTTCAGCAGTTGCACTACTTTAATGAGCATACAATAATAATATTAATAAATATAACTTATCAAATCCTAATTATAGTTTTAAATCTAGCATTAGTAATAGAAGTTAGTAATGCATTTGAAGTGTAGGGAATTGAGATGCATATACATCTTGTAACTAAACATATTAGATAGAACATCACAGTAGTTGCTATTGAGCTTCATACACGACCGTAGTGCATATCTGATTGTTATTTCAGGCCAACAATGCGACTAAATTGATTTCGAAAAGCATTCGTGCTTTTTCGAACAGTTCAAAGAGAGGTGACCCTTGTAGTAGTGTTTAGTTTCTACGTAAGTTAGTTGTGGACAAGTAAATGGTGTACATCATTTTCCTTATTAACTCGCATTTTCGATTACCATCCTGTTATAAATATTAGCTACTGATAGGCCAAGCCTGAGAAGACCATACGTGTCTGTCACCCACTAACTTAGGATTGTGGTGATTATCATTTCGCCTCTTTTATTTAAGTTTCTTCCAAGTTGTTGACTTATCTGAAGCGTGTCACTAACCAATGTGGTGAAACGACACAGTTACAAAATCACAGGAAAGGAGCAACGATATCCGCTGTTGGATTAATAGGTCAATGAAGGTCAAGGTCATTTTTAGCTTAAAGTGTTCAAATTTCATTTGATGTTATATTAATTTGAATTGTTGTGTATATTGTACATTCCTTAATTTTGATTAGGTTGCCGTCAAGCTCAGCATACTACAATTTACTGATAATATAAAATAAAATATTTTACTAATCAAATTAACGAATGTAGATTTTACTTCTGCTCATGTAGTAATTTGGTAAGTATAAACGGCAGCAGAACATTGTCTGTATGTTATTAACGTTTTATAATTGTATTACCAATATTTATATGATACAAATACACTAGTTTAATGGACAATACGACGAGGGTTAGAATTTTTACAAAGTTGGTTGTGTAAGTGACCTTGATCTTCAAATGGCGTGGGCAGAAAACGGGGACTAGCGTATTGCAACTGAGTTTCCCTGCATGATTTCAAGCTCCCCTTTAGTATCAGATCCTTGCATTTTATCTTATTTTCTTGTAAATTGCAATAATACTGTAAATACATAGTTATATGTCTTCTGAACAAGTTAACAACTTTAAATGTGGTTCACCTTGTCCTTGTACCTTGTGATATCACTGCAATCTACCAACTACCCTGTATCTGTCTAAATGTGAACACGTTTTCTCTTTATGCTTACAAAAGGCAAGAATAAAGGTAGAATTTTTCTTTGAATTGGCACTGACTTTGAGAACCGCAATTTCTGATAATAGTTTGACTCCTGCTGATTCTTGACGTCATACTTACGTATGTAAAATTCTCTGTCCTGTTCTCCATACTCTTTGATTTTATAAGCGTTTGTTTCATAATCAGTTGGAATATAGGTTATATTGGTTTTGCTTGCTTTTTAATTATATCTTTACTGATAAATACGTTCATTTTTTATCTATGACAGCAATACGCTAGTCCCTGGGGGCTTGTTACATTAATATATTATAACCACTCATTTGGTCAGCATAAGACTTCCTATAAGTTATAGAAATCAAAATGGGCAACCAAGTATGTGCCTATTGTATATTAATGTCACAAGGACCAGCATGCCACGCGTGGTATGCCTCTGTCAAGGATGATGGTTTTCAGTTATTACATTTAACCTTATTTCTTTTCTCGGACTACTTTTTTGTCCTTTATGTAAATCCGCCAACAGCTGCAACATGCATTCATTTATTAATACACACAAAACAAACCGTTATTTTAAGAAATATATAGTACTAAGCTTGTCAGATTTAGCATTTGCTTTAAAATCTGAAGCTAACATGATCTAATAAATCACTATATGATGGCTTGTTTAACATTTTGAATCAATTTCTGAAAAACTCAAGTTTATTCATTACAAATCTGTTATTTCTAATTAATATCTGCCCTATAATTGTATCACACGCATGTTTCAATGTGTGTTACAATTTGAGGGCAGAATCATCCTTGACGGGCGCATATTTCTGCTTTCTAGGAGTTTCTTGCTAAACGAAAAGAGTGGCAAGAGAAAATGCAAGCACACAAACCCCCTTCAAGGCGGACTAGCACAATACTACTTCACAGTGTGCATGCAATGTAGACTTTTGTCACCTTATTTGCAGAACCTCCTCCAATTTTACGCGTTAAGTGAGGAGAGGCGACAAATGAACTTCATAACTTGAGGAAGAATTGTGACACTAGTCCTGACACAGTTTTATGCATTTAGACTGCAAATGCAACTGATACAGAAAGATTTTGTTCAGCCTAAAATGTTCACTGAACGTAAGATTTAATGGACATGGTTTGTAATTTACTGGCTAGAGTGTAAATCACACACATTGAATGAAGTATAAATGATGATGCAACATTTGCATCAGGAATCAGTTAAATTGTGTCAGGTTTAAGCCATTTCTACACCCATGCACTTTATTGAAAGTCATCTGTGCATCAGAGAGGTGTGACTTAGGTTTGTGTAACACTGTCTCGTGGCGTTGTGACTCCGCCACTTGACCCTATTCGCCAGTTAGAGTCATCATTCGGCCCGGGGACCTTGACCTGCAAAGTTACACCAGGCAAAATGGTCAAGTCCAAATGAAAGGGCTCCAAACCGGGCGGTGGATTTGCATTAAATGCATATTGGTGATCTAGAGGATGGAGAATAAGATCTGTACGTAGGACAAGAATGATGACAAAACAAGGACTTAAACCACCCATTCGTCCTACATATAAAGAGAGAGATAGTCAAAGATGTATATATTTGTTATTTATGTTATTTTGAAAATTGACTCTGTAAATATATTATGGCCCAGATAGTTTTGTTTATTAAACTATATTGAGTCAATGTTCAACAAAATGATGTGGTTATTTCTCTATCATGTTTGCAATTATACGTTTCGTATTAGTACTACCTGGTTTAAATAGTTTATTTTAAAGTATTGTAGCTGCTGAAACCCAATACAGCTTCCTCATGAAAATGTATAAAATGTTAAAAGAAATCATGTACGTTTACTATAACCATGTACGTTTACTCGTTTACTACGACCATGTATTTCACGTCCTCAGTACTTAAATGTTGCTATATTGTCAATGTGTATATGCATAACCACTACTTGCTGGAGTAGTGAACAAACACATAATTATTAAGTTTTATCTAAAAATGCATCGAGTAAATTCGAACATTGGTTCCAGAAACTCGTTAAATTGTTCAAGTCAGATATATTGTTATGTTTAGCAAAACAAGTGTATCTGCTGAATAATACAATTAAGTTTTAAAGCATGTACACAGATGTGAATCAGTAGAGATCAAATTGTAGCAACTGCAGGAAGAAAATCCATTTTGAAATCAATTGGTTTTAACAAAGATCGTTATTAAATTTTTCACAATATGTATTTCATTTGCAGAGCACTTGTATATGTTGTTGTATTTTCTGTTCATAGTGTCATTGTTACTAACAGATATTTAATTTTATTCATCCGGTGCTTTTCTTGATATAACAATTGTGTAAAAAGTACATACATATACTTAGTTCATTGACGAAATTAGTGCTTTGATAAATAATTGTAAATGTGCCAATTTCAAGAGTGTTGAAAATGCTGACACATATTTTTTACTTGTAACTTGATATTTATTTATGTGCAGAACATGATCTTCTCTATGTGCTATGTGGTGTGACGGCTACATTGGTCAATTGGTGTTAAAGCGTCGTTTTAAGTCGAGTATGTATGTCATGTCAGGAATTAATCAAAAATCATTACATCATATCAATCACATCAATAAAATGTCTTTGAAAGAGGTTTGGGATGTTCATTGAATTTTTACTAAAATACAAACATCCTTTTATTGAAGTCGTTTCAACCTGATTTGTGGCCTACACTTTTCATTTGTTACAGCTGAATGATGAGCATGTGAAATTGGAGCTGTCATTTCAAATTAGTTTAAATTGAATATTGACTTTTGACTCATCTAGAGTTTCATAATCACCACCACTAACGAAACTGAATTTGTGTTTAATATAATCGTTGGGAATTGTGCCCATGTGGTTTTGTCTGTCTCGTTATAATTGACCCGATTAAAAAGTACCCATGTTTTGTCCCCCTGAACGAGTATAATCAAACGACCAAATCAAAAACGAAGTTCATGCTTATTTGCTCAACATATCGCTTATCAGGCGATGGTCGATCAGTTATCATTGTTATTTGCTTGTTTGTTTTATTTGGCTGTTCACTAGGATTTTATTTACTTAAATTGCGTCAGCTTAAGTTCTTTTTACGTATGAGTCAACTGTTTAATGTTCTCTCTTGTTTTAAATGCCCCCAACCTGACTTTTTCAGTCATGTCTGACCAGAACCTTCTTCAGGTTTTGGTTTGACCGAAGTAGCAACATTTTGCCGGGTGTGTCTGGATTGCTTCAATATTTGATTTGTTTGAACCTCACAAGTCTTGCTTTTCTGGTTCAAAGTCGTTGGAACAATTGTATCCATCACTGATCTAGGGTCTTCAGATGTTCAGTCGTGCCTTTGTCTGTCTCTTAAACTAGATCAAGCTTTTTAGTTCATCCTTGCATAGGCTAGTCGGAGCCATGTGCTATTAGAATATATATGCTACAGGGTGGTCCAAAAAATTGGAACATTTAATGTACTACTTACTTACTAAAATGCACCAACATTTTACTGTTCATTATTCATCCTAATGTACATTTGCTGCAAAGTTTATAAATGTAGCCTTCCATGCTAATTGGTTTAACAAGCCAATGTTTGATTTGGCCCATATTCTTCTGAATTACATGTTGAAACCCGAGACCCCGTTTTGAAATAATTCATTCAATTTGCAGTCTGTTGGTTTTCCTCAAAGCTACCTTATTAAAAAAAACTTCAACATGGTCAAAATCCAAATATTTGCTTTGTATTGAAACTGATTCGTATCAAGCATAATTTGTTGTTTATTGTTGTGTCTATTACTGACAGAATATTCTTCTCTAGAAAGAAGGCACTTTGGTTCGAACTGGTAAATGAAGTCCCTCTCCTATATTGTTGCAACATGTAGTAATAATCACATATTTTGATTTAGTATCTTAGAAAAGTTTATTTTCCAGAGCACAAATGATATTAAAGTTGCTTATAGTTGATCTTGAAAGCTGTGTAAATAACTTGTACGTCAGTTTTGCCTTAATTGGAAAATGGAAACAATGATTCTTCTTTTTTTTTTATTTATTTTTTTTTTTATTTATTTTTTTTTTGCAATTTTTTTTTTGTTTCAGTTTATCAAGTACAGTTATACAATATTTTTACATACATATACTGTAGATTGGGTTAATTTGGCGCCCGCTTTAATTTGGCGAATTTGGCGAAATTGAAAAAATTCGCCAATATAAATCTTCGCCAAAATTTAGAATGAATCCCCGGGAATTATCTAGGGTCTTTCGTCCAGTGTATTGAGGTCACTTTCGGTTTAGTTTTTTTACAAAAATATGAAAAAATGATATATAATATGAAATATGGAAACAATGATTCTGTCACTTGAATAGTTCTTTGGGTTATGCAACTGCCACCTCTGACATGTTCCTTCTCCCATATGTTATTTAATTTCATAAAACGCATATAGCAACATGTTCATTAAAGCTTCGTAAAAATATTTGAAATAGTAGCAGTAAAATTGACAAGTGTACATTTAAGAGAATGGGTTCCTATCAAACATTTGCTAGTTTAATCCATTCACTTAGTGAATTTCCCCTGTAAACTTAATAGCTAATGCACAATTGAATGAACTATGCTCAGTAAAATGTCGGTGTGTTTTAGATGATAAATAATCTGCATATAATTTACAAATGCCACAATTTTTGGACTACACTGTATATTATTAGTTCATATTCAGCTCGTGTTAGATCAATTATATTGTTCTCCAGATTTGAAAGAACTGAATCATAAATTGCAATATTCTTTGTAACTTTTTACTTTGATTTATAAGTAGTCTTGTAAGTTACAGAGTTTAACATTAATTTATATTTAAAAATGAATATAAACAGTACATAGAATAACTATTGCAATTTAAAAGCTATGTATCTTTAATGTATCTTATAATTGCAAAGGGACACTTGGGGCGGTACAATGAAACTCGGTCGTTTGCTCCCCTGTGCGTTGGGCTCATTTGATAGTTCGATTCTATGAATGCACCATATTATAAAAAATTGATTTATTTACAAATACTCTATATGATTTATGCTTACTGTTCATGTAAGGTTTATAGTGACCATGTATATGTTTGCAATATATGTAATGTAGACTCAGCTGTCGATTTCAAAGAGAGTCTTGCGCGCCCTGCAACAAGACACTTGTTTCATTAAAATGTCTGTATTCAAAATAGGACTTTCGAATCACTTATAGGCAAGAAGAGTAGATGTTTGTGAATGCTTGAAATACTGTGAGTGGATTGACAATCAAGACAAAAGGCTTGTAAATTATGCTTAAATGTTAACATTTCAATAATAACCAGTACGTTTCATGTAACTCATTGTATATTTCCTTAAACCTATATCTCTTTTTGGTCTGTTGAGAGTTCAGGTAAGGTAAAATGTGACATACTGAAACAAGAACATGTTATAGGGCACCAAGACGCATTTCAATATTCAGAATCATCTAAAATACCTTTTCTACACGAGAGGTTAGGATGTATTGATACGGGAATAGTAATTATAACCTTTTATTGTACAATCATTCGTTAAACCAAATGGTAAAATAAATTCAGTGTTCTTTAAATAAATGTTTGTTTTGTTTTTAAATCAATAGAGTGGAACTAAAAAACAATAACCCAAGGTTGAAAGTGTAACCCTATCCCAAGTTCCCAAATGAAACGACAAGAAGTTATGTAATGCTTCATACACTAAATTGAAGAATATAAAGAGATTATCCTATAAGAGGATCAGTATTGGGATTATCCCGAGGCAAATATAATTTATCTGTCCGAGAGTCGTCATATTGTCCAATTGTCCACAGTTCAGAAAATGTCCAACCAACCGTGGAAATACTCTAGAGTATTTCATACCTGATGAGGTTTCAGGGACATATCAACCGGGAATATATTCTATATTCGGGTAAATATTTTTC